GTTCCTCCTCATGTTTTGTTGATGGAAACGCAAGGTTCCTCCTCATGTTTTGTTGATGGAAACGCACACACACACACACACACACACACACACACACACACACACACACACACACACACACACACACACATAAATCAGACTTAAATCATATCAACAGTTCTCTTGAGCTGGGTGTCAACCTGAGGATCTTTATCTCACTGAGTTTGAAAAATGACACCTGGCTAAGGTGGGGCTTTGCTGTGTGTGTGTGTGGAGGAGGTCACCCTGATACGCATCAACCTTTGATTAACGATTTGAGCACAACGCTCTTTAAAAAGCACAGGCATCATAGCTCAGGAGGCCTCCATCAAACCCTTCGCTGCACTTCACAAGCCCAACTTCTTTTTATGATCTGACCCGCCCATTTTCTTTCTCCCGCTCTCATGCCACCTCACTCCCACCCACGTCCCCTTCGCTATCACCTTTCTTTTGAGGCCTATCCAGAGAGATGAATAATAGCAAGCAGCTGGCCGAGCACTTCCTTCCCCGTGTCAGGGTCAACAGTTCAGCATGCTGATAGAGACCCTTACACCTTTTTTTTTTTAATAAGAGCTCCCCTACACTCACACAGGTCACTTTGCTGCATCGCTGGACAGCCGTACTCCTGCCATCGTCTGCGCTCCCTTTCATTATATTTCTTTTTTCATCGCTTTGTGAGTCGCTGATTGATTGATAGCTGCTGCTTTTAGGTTAGTAAAACACCCCAAATGTACTTCGATTGATACAAAATAAATATTTACATATTAATAATTAATGCAAGCTATCTATTGACTGGGGTTTGGGTATAAAGAACAGGCTCAGCCTGTCAGAATTTGGCTTCTCTGTGTGAGTAATATCATGAGGCTAAGCTAATAAACTTTTTGATGCTTGCTGCAGTTCCAATGTAGCTCCGTGTGGATTGACAGCAGAGGCCACCCTGGTCAGATTTTGAGTGGGCTCAGAAAGAAGTGCTAATCATAATGCTGAGCTAGCCTTGTTGAGCAGCTAATTACCTCCATTATGAAGATGCAGAGGCCTGATCAGAGGCGCCTCTGTGTGTACATGTGTGTGTTTTATATATGTGTGTGTGCGTACTTTCCTGTGCCGATTAAAAAGGAGGATTAGCCGTCCGTCCAAGACAGAGGAAGCCGGGGTGGGGGGGGTGCTGGTGGTGCTGGTGGTGGGAGGAGGGTGTCCCCCCCTCCTGGAGACGAGCCCTGACCTTCTCATTTCATCCTCATTAGTATCTCATGTCAACAGAGCAGCCACTCCTTAATCATCTGCTATCATCCCAGGCCTACACACACACACACACACACACACACACACACACACACACACACACACACACACACACACACACAGAAAAACACAAATGGGCAAACAGGGCTACT